ATATTACAAAACATTTTTTTTTGTCATTTACTTTTCAATCGTATGAATTCCTAGTGTTTGATTATTTTCATTTGAATAAATTCAAAATGAGTTCAATACATTAGAGAACAAAAACATATAGAATTTTTACGTAATTTACACGTGTCGCAGCGATGGAAAATCAGGAATTGTAAAGTTTATTTTTATAGTACTTTTACGAGAAATACGGATTTCTAGGTTGCTTTTAAACAAGAAAAAAAGAACGCAGAAAAGGAGCAAAACAAGATATAGATCATGGTCTGCAGAATAATAACCGATCCCATCCCATATATATATGTATCCGAGTAAACGAAAGTCCTTGAGAGATACAATATATTTTTTAATGATGAGCAAAGTTCACATACAAAGCTTCAATGCTTGTCGCAAAATTAGATAGAAATCAATTAATATTTCCCATAAATCGTTTGTTTTTCATGACTAATAACATGAATTCTTCTCGATACTAACGATCGGAAAGTTCATGTTGATATGCTCATTATATCTATAAATTATCATATATGTAAGAGACAAAAGAAAAATTTCATTTCATGACAATTACTATAAATCAAAAGTTAATTGTAAGTAATATTTGAAATTATAAAAATGTATAAATAGTTTTGTTTGGATATAAACAAAGATCAGAGTTGGACAAATCAGAGATTTTTCAAGTTACAAGTCAAGTCAAGTCATATCCTCAAATTTTTTTTGATCTAAATTCAGTCAGAACATGAAATTTGTCAGTATCTTTCGTGTGAGAGACGATTTTTATAGTCTCAGAATCCTATTTCATGGTAAAAAATTCCCTTAAATAAACAAAAATTCTTTACAATGTGAATTGACTAGACTTGACAAAATTTTTAAGTCAAGTCAGATTTAGGCCATTTTTGACTTGTCCAGCTCTGATAAAGACTAAGTTTCATTTGTATGAAATCTTAAAAACGAAAAGAAACAAAATCAACACTAACCTCTCCTTCCATCAAAATAGGTTCCAAATTGAATTTTTGTAACATTGCGAAAAGGATTATCGATTTCTTTGTATTGTCTCATGTTTGATAAGATTTCCAATGACATTAGAAGCTCTGACTCGTCAAAAGTTCTATTGCGTCCTTTAAAAAAAGAATTCTATTTTAGATATTGTCCTACTGTTTGTTCATATGATTTAGTAGAAAACAAGATAGATGAACATTCTTCAGCAGTTTTCCTTTTCAATATGAATTCTTTCTATTTTTCTGTATGGTTTTTTCCCTGGATAGTTTACGCTTTAGTTTTTTTATCCAAAGATTCACTGTGTAATTCCACATAAAAGCGTAAGTTTTACTCGAAAACTATTGAGTCATTCATCTTTAGGCAACTGAGGGAGAAACAGCAGTAGCAGAGACTTCATGAGTAAAGCCACATAGAGTTCTTAAATTTTTCAAAGTCCCATGAAATGCTATGAAGTTCATAAAATCTTTTCGAAACTATGCAAACTTTTGTAACTCTTATGAAGACTCTTGAAGTCTTTTTTTCCCTTCTAGACAACAGTCTGATGAAAAAACGACTGTTAAATAACTTTCAAAATGTTGTTGACATTTTTCGTCGTTTTTCTTTCAAAAATATTCAATTTCTATATTAATTCTGATGTTTTTGATATGATACATTCTTCACTCAATTCAACAACTAAATCGACTTGAATATGTTGGTTGAAATATATTAATTCATGTCTTAAGTGGCGACTATATCACAGCAGGGATTGACGGAAAACATCGAAAAGAAAAAGATCGAAAAGGAAAATGTCAAACACTGTCAACGATGACATTAACAATATTCCTTTGTTTTTGTTCTTATTCGTCACTCTTCAACTAGCACATTTTATTCTTTATCGAATAAAAAGAATTATGCAACATTAAACAGATATATAGTGGGGACGACCCCAAATTCACGTTTTGGAAATAGTTCGTATATAACTCTGCAATCTGAGAAAGGGGGAAACAGCGAACTCTGGGACTCCACAGGACTCTGCGGAACTTCAAGGGACTGGAATCTGTTGTTTCTCCCTTGAATCTGAAAGATCGTTTGCTACAACGAACAGAGGTAAACCGTTATTAATATATGAGAGTTACTTATTCAGGCGAAACAAATCGGCAAAAAACAGCTTTTCAATTGATATTTAACTCTTAAAAGCTGAATGTCCTCTCCAGAGGACATTATTATAACTACAATAAAAACCGCAATAAAACCTTGTATACACAAAACCAATATTTTTCTGGACTAAAAGGATCTTGGAGGCCATACCCATTTTACGCCTGGTGACTTTTTTAATGTCACTTTTTTTTCTTAAAATTTTGTTTAATCATAAATGCAACGTTCAGCCTTGTTTATTGTACGGAATATTATTAAACATAGCATCAAGATATCTGATGAAGCCATTCCGTAAATTTTTAACCGATGTACCGATAAATTATGCCATCATAAAGAAAATGCTCCTTGAATGAAATATTTACTCTCATAGAAAATCGAAACGAAGGAATTTTAATTTGAAACTTTACTCATGTATAGCTCTAACGATATATAGAATGTCCTGAAATTTTCATCAACAACTGTTGTTTCCTTCTCGAGATACAAAATGTTGAAGGAAAGTCGGGTTTTAGCAGTTTTTTGCAAAATATGGCCAGTTTTTTTAAGTATCAAATGTCTCAACAAGAAAGCATCCGTTTGGAGTCAAAATTTCAGAGCAAGTTAAGGACAATGGAACGTACTTATGGGCAAAAGTTCAGATTGAAACTCTAATTTTTCAGTTTTTTGCAAGGTCAGATATTCTTGCCAAAGGACACTGCGTAACTCTGGAACGAGAGCAAGGTAATTCTTTTTAGCTATAGTATGAGTATATTGAGGGTCCATAATCTCTATTTTTGCGATTAGCTTCCCCCTTGTGTACGAAAAAGCCTCTTCGGCTTTTAAGGATTAATACTCTGCACGGCAGATTTTATTAAGAAAATCAACGCCATGTAACTATTGTCAGGTTTATCATTGTTAAATGGAAATTTAAAAAAATAAGATCTTTTTATATTGTGAGTTTTTTCTTGTCTTTTTTATCCGAAATTAATAAAGTATAGTAATCGTCATGTGCATTACAAGGAATAGACTAATCATTTCAACATTTTCCTTCACAAATTTCTATTTCGATCTTTTCCTTTTAAGCAATTTGCATTTTCCATGTTATCATTTTCGNCATTTCTGATGATGAAACGGACATTTTCGTTAATGTTTTTCGATTTCATCGATGAAAATGAATATTTTCATCAAAATAATGCCATGACTTTGAAAAAAATCAAATTCATGCAATGTCACCAATGAAAATAAACATTTTCATCGATGAAATTGAAAAACATCAACGAAAAGGTCCGTTTCATCATCAGAAATGCCATTTTTTTCATTTTTTTGATGTAAACTTCATGAAAGTCATGGCATTTTTTTCATTTTTTTATTCCCTGGGCAGATTTTGTTAAGAAAATCAACGCCATGTAACTATTGTCAGGTTTATCATTGTTAAATGGAAATAAAAAAAAATAAGATCTTTTTATATTGTGAGTTTTCTCTTGTCTTTTTTATCGGAATTAATAAAGTATAGTAATGGTCATGTGCATTACAAGGAATAGACTAATCATTTCAACATTTTCCTTCACAAATTTCTATTTCGATCTTTTCCTTTTAAGCAATTTGCATTTTCCATGTTATCATTTTCGATATTTTCCTCTCGCGACCTTTTCCACCAGATCCTCACATCAAAAGCATAAGAACTCATTTCGAGAATTGGATATTTTCAGTAGATAAAGAAGGAAAAAAGCGAACGTTTCCAAAGTTGTACGCAATACTGATTTTTTAATCCTGTTGTTCTTTAAAGACGAATGGATCAGTAGTTTTCGAGTAAAACTTACTCTGCTAAATGTGGAATAAGACAGCGAATCTTTTGATAAAAATATAAAGCGTAAACTATAAGAAAAAAAAAGCTGTTAGCGCAAACCCTGTGGGATTCAAATGCGAAACACAATGGAGCTGCTAACACTGGAACAGTGAAACTTTAGACTTTTGTCATACTCTGTAATAGTCCGTTGTTAAAGCGCTTGTCAGAGTCCATAATGATCCGTTCTTAAGGCATCTGTCATGATCTGTGACGTTTCTCTAGTAACGACTGTTCATGGATGTGGCGAAGAGAAAAATCTATTAGAAAAATCTTTGCGGGATTTAAATGTGAAACACGATCGAACTTACTGTTTTGTAAACGAAAGGATTCAACAATCTGCGTGTTAGTTTTTCAATTACTACATATTTCTAAGGTGAATGTGGAAACAGGGCGACACACACACTTTAAATTCCATCGTCTTGCACAATAATTTTGTCAGAAACTTCAGTTTTAATACTATGTCTGTTATGGTCCCAGAGTGATGTCTGTCAGGTCTAGGGGAGTGCATACAAAATTTCTACCCATATACTACAACACTCCTTTCAGATCGTCTTTTACAAAAAAAGTGGGAGGGGAGGGGAGGGGGGGCGATTATTTTTTCCATCGTACAGTCTCTTCTTCCGATAAAAAGAAAGATTTTTGCTAGCAAAAATTGAAAAAATTTCTAAAAGTGAGAGGTATGCACTTTCTGCACTTCGATGGTCAAATCCTCGAGACTGTCAGGATCTGTGATGTTGTTAAGAATGTCTGTCACGTATTTCATGTGTTATTATAATAAGATGTTTGTCATGTTTGTGATAAACTGTTCCTAAATATCTGTCACGTTCATAAAAGAGGGGAAGTAGATCCAAATTTCTATCCGTTATACTTTCACACTCATTTTAGATCGTGTTTCACAAAACAAGTAAGATATAAAAATAAAGCTGGATTGTCAGTTTTATTCTAGACGACATGTTATTATGAAACAATGTGAATATGTAAATTTAATCACCGATTTACTTGTTTAGTGATGAAAAAGAAAATCATTAAAATGACAAAACTATTTACTTGCGTGCACTTTGATAGAAGAAACATTAGGAGTTAATTGGTTAAATCCTTGAAGAACTAAGTATAGTGATGGATGTAACCGGTACCATATATTATCCATATGTGGCCAATTGATAATATTTGGATATTTACTAAAAGAGAAGAATTTTTGTTGAATTGGTAAGTTCTTCAAGTTTTCATAAAGAGGCAAATATCTTACATAAGATTACGAGAAAAATGAAATGGATTTGTGAAACAAGAGAAAATATGTTGACATGACAGTATTGGATCAAAAAAATATTTAACATTTGTCCATTGATGAGCAAGAAAAAACGAATGATTTTTAAATGAATTTGTTGTTTGTTCTATGTCATTTAATGATAATTGACTGTATGAACAAATATAAAAATCAAAATCAAGTAAATTATTTATTCTATCAGGTAAACAATATTGACGAATAAAATTTGCATCAATAAAAGATTTCCATATATTTTGAGATTCTCTTATGTCGAGTTCATAATTTGCTAGATAAAGTTGAAGTTTTTTAACATAATTTAAATTATTGAGAAGCCATTTCAAATAAATAAATTCGCAATCACCTTCAATGAAAGTCTTTAAACTAAAATATCTTAGCTTTGGTAACTAAAAAAAGAAAAGATTCTCTATTGTTAAAAAGAAAAATATTTTCTGCGAAAAATTTTTCAAATAAAAAAGATAACATAGCTTTTCTTCTTACTTTATTAAACCAATTTTCATTTGATTGTTTCATTATTTCAATATTCGATTTCCATAATAAATCGAATTTCAATGAAATATCAAATTGAACCGATATTTGTTCGAGATTAGGCACATGCTCAATAAGATCTTCAAGAAATCGTGTATATCTAAGTCGAAGATATAAACGACGAAGAGTCAGACAAAAAGATTGATGTTTATATTGAATAGAATCAGATGTTAAACATTGATGAATATCATCATGTATAAACCAGTGGCTAATATCAAGTCGAAGAGATGTTAAGTGACATTGAGAAGAGAATAGTTGACAAATAAGCTTTTTCATCATGGTCATTTTTTGTTCTATTAATTGTTAAACAAAAACAAAAGAGAAAGTTATTTTATTGTTAAAATAAAATCTATTCGTATTGAAGACAGCCTTTTCACTTCAAATTTATATTTAATTGCCAAGAATTGTTCAAAAGAAAATACTTTTTAAATGTGCATATGTCTATAGTGTGTGTGTTTTCTTCTTGCCTTCGCCTATTCACACCTATATCCAAGTTTTTTACTCGTGCTCTCGCGATAACCATTTTTCAATAGTTTCAATTATAGTTCCAGCAAATCTGATCGGATCTCACGAAGGAACATAAATATATATGAGTGCCTCCTCTCCATGAGAAAAAGTTCAAAAAGTCATCCTATTCGATAGAGACCTTGATGAACATCTCTAATATGAATGTCTTACGTGGGAAGGTTCCCCAAATGTGAATTATTGTTTCGAATCGGTGATATCCTAGTTTGTAGCGCTCGATGAGCTGATTCTAATGGCCATAAAGCATTTTTTCCAATGGAACTTAAAACTAGAAAAACAGTTGATGTAATTATGAAAGATCACATAGGAAACATTGGGATTTTAATGATATTGTAGTTCGAGAGAATCATATATATATAACCATTGATTTGGTCATTTTTGGCTGTCAATTCTCGTAAGATAGATAGACCAAAAAGTATATAGTTAGGCCATATTTTTTTGCATATGCTGACATATGCAAAATAAGGCATAACTATACATTTTTTAGTCTATCTTACGAGAATTGACAGGAACTAGAATATCATTAAAATCTCAATGTTTCCTATGTGATCTTTCATAATTACATCAACTGTTTTTCTACTTCTAAGCTCCATCGGAAAAAATGCTTTGTGCCACTAGAATCAGCTCGTCGAGTGCTACAAACTGGGATGTCACCCATTCGAAACAATGATTCACATTTGGGGACCTTCTCTCGTTAGTTGCTTTCATTTAGATCTGCAAAAATGAGAGAATAAAACTTTTTCATTTGTTTTCTGTCCTTTTCTGCTATCATTGCTGTACAATTTTTACACTTGTATAAGACTTGCAAAGAATGATCAATTTCTTTTCCATAGAAGAGCCATCGAAAATGAGCAGAATTCGACACGAAAAAGATATTTATCTATCACAAATAATGACATTATCTGTGTTTTCCAACGTCTTTTGTTGTTTTTAACACTGCATGGTCACCGAAAACATTTCAAGTACTCATTTATGAAAAAGATTTCTATCGTCCTATGTTCGGACAAAGTAGTCCGTAAACGACGATATACAGTCGAAAAGTGATTTACTTACGGAACTCTGTATAGTGATTCTAAACAAGCGATTGTTTACGACGTATCTAACACGTAATAGAAGTCGTTTTACGCAGTTCGACACGAACAATATATGAAAAAATAATGGATGGTCTATAATAAATGAAACAAAATGCTTTCCACTTTTCAGGGCATTTCCCAAGGCGTTGAAGCCTTTATTTTCGATTCATTCGATAGAGAATTGTTCACTCTACAAAACTATTGACTTTGTTTTACAAATCAGTTTTTCTTGTTACTGAAAAATCGACAAAATTCACAGCGACTCAGCCGTCCAACTGCATCTGTTAGAAAACAAAACAATTATTAAAAATATATTTAAATAATAGTTCTACGGAAATTTGAAATATTCTACATAATATTCGGTAGAATTCTGAATATCACAATGTTTTGCAATTTGAGGAAAAAATATTTCGAAGAACAATTTTTGAAGCAAAAATTAAGAACCAATAGAAAAGTCTCTTCTGAGAGGTCTATGTCATTGTTTATTTTTTTAATTCGGAACAGTCTAAAGATTCTCGTTATTCAGTTTAAATGTTACATCATTTTCTTCAGGATTAAATTTTGTATTCGATAGTATAATAATAAACCGTTCATAGGGCACGACTGACTAGAAAACATGAGTTTCGAAAACGCATTCCAAATAAAATACTGTCAGATGTTGGTTCATATCTTTTGCACATCAACAACACTATCAAAAACCTTAGAAAGATCTTGGAACTATAAAGCAGAAAATTCTGTATCTATTGATGCTGAATACATTACGTTTAACATCAAACTTGATTAGTACAGAACTACAGAAATCCATAGATGTCCGAAAAAAACACAAGAAAATCGCTATTGAGCAGCTAAGTACCTGACAGTCTTTTCAACTTTTCGGCGATGAGAAAAACTTATTGGGAAAACAAAGTTGATAGTTTTATACAGCGAAAAATTCTCTGTCGAATAAGCTATTGCGTAGTTTTCCGTGTCTTGGAAAGTTATCTGAAAAAATAGAGAAACATTTTGTTCCGTTTATTATGGATACCTGTTATGTAGAAATCAACGATTAATTACCCTTATCAGAAATCTCTGACAAATTTTGTTTTATACTTCTGCGGCCTGTGAAAATTATCCCATTAAATGTTAATGCAAGTTCATCTAATTGGTTTTCAATAAGATGAAATAAACATTGAAATATTGGTTCGATGGATTTTTGATATTCAATAAGAATAAGTGATTTAAGATTTGGAAAATGAAGAATTTTTTTATCATTAAATAACCATTGATAAATAAGATCACAAGTCATTGAATTTCTTTCATCAATATGAATATGTTGAATAGATGAAGAAAGTGATGATGATTTGAAAATCAATGGAAATAATGTTGAACATTTATTATAAGATAAANGGCCTGCACAGTAATGATGGATCTTCTAAGGATATGTATCCGAACACATCATGATCTTTGATAGACAGACGATCTATTTTAGCAGCGAGCAGGGTTCGAATATAGAGATTTAATATTCGTAACTAAAATCGATATCATTCAACTGCTTTTTTCATCAAGGGTTTTTCATTTACGATTACAAATGCTCGCCTCTGTGCTAGCGACTGCAAAATTCATATTCAAAGGATAATTATAACTTTGCATTATCACATTTAACCATATTACAAAGACTATCAAATTCATTTCATGACAATCATTATAGAGAAAATAGTTCTACGAAACATTTAAACTATAAAAAAAAAGCTGTAGATAATATTTGCTTTACGCTTTCAATGAAAACTGAGCTCCATTTGTTTGTTTGAGATCTTCGAAAAAAAAGAACAAAATTCTTACTAGCAATTGTCACGATCAAACCATGTTCCAAATTGAATTTTTGTAACATTTCGAAAAGGCATATCAATTGTCTTGTATTGCTTCATTTTGGATAAACTATTTAATGACATTAGAAGATCAGAATCGTCAAAATCTCTCTTTTGATCTATAAAAGTGAGAAATTTTCTTTACTTTAAATGTTGTTTTACTGTCTTTTCTATTGAGTTTAGCTGAACACAAGAGAGACGAATGTTCAGAAGGAATCTTCTTTTTCATCTGATCTTTCCAATGAAAAAAAACGATGATTTCTATTTTTCTCTGTCACTGTATTTTCAGTAATTAGACATAATTGAATTATTATGAAATTATGTGAATATGTTAACTTAATCACTTGTCTACTCTTTCAACAATCAAGAAAATCATTGAAATACCAAAGTAATTTACCTTTGTATACTTTAATACAACGAATATTAGGAGATATGTCATTGAATTCTTCAAGAAATAAATAAAGTGATGGATGTAAGTGAAAGAGAAATTTGTCAATATGTGGCCAATTAAAAATATATGAATGATTACTAAAAAAAAGAAAAGAATGTAATTGAATTGAGAAGTTCTCGGAGTTTTCATAAAAATAAATATCTTACATTCGATTACCAGAGGGTTGTAGTGTATAAGAGAAAGAAGATAAAAGATGTTGGCACGATGTTATTGGATCAAATAAACATTTAACATTTGTCCATTGATGTGAAATAAAGAAAGAATGAATTTTAAATGAATTTATTATTTGTTCTATATCATTCAATGATAATTGACATTGTGAACAAACGTAAAAATCAAAATAAATTAAATTAATTATTCTATCAGGTAAACAATATTGACGAATGAAATTTGCATCGATAACAGATCTCCATATATTTTGATATTTTCTTTCCATTAATTTATTATTTCTGAGATGAACTTGAAGTTTTTCAATATAATTTAAATTGTTAAGAAGCCATTTCAAATAAACAAATTCCAAATCATCATCAATACAAGTTGTTAAACTAAAATATCGTAGTTTAGGTATCTGAAAAGAATCCAATTGTTTTTATTAATTCAAAAAATACAAAACTATTGTGAGAAATTCATTAAATAAAAAATCATTATTTTTCTGTTCTTTTTCTTACTTTATTAAACCAATTTTCATTTGATTGCTTCAATCTTTCAACATTCGATCTGCATGAGAAATCAAATATTAATGATGAATAAAACTGAACTGACATTTGTTCAAGATTGGGTACATGTTCAACAAGATTTTCAAGAAAACATGCATATCTAAGTCGAATATGTAAATGACGAAGGGTTAAACAGCAAGTTGGAAGTTGATATTGAATTAAATTAGAAGAATGACAAAAATTTGATGATAAACATCGATGAATCTTACCATCTGTGAGCTCGTTGCTAATATCAAATCGAAGAGATATTAAATGACATTTTTCAGAAAATAGTTGACAAAGAAATACTTTGAACATGATCATTTGTTTTTCTATTGTTTGTCAAAAAAAAAAAATAAAATAGAGATATGTTTTATTCATTAATCTTTTTTAGTATTAAGGTTGTATATTGAAAAAAGCTTTCTTTATCATCTTAATTTTCGAATAGCATACGAATACAGCAAGATATTGAGATGTGATTTTCTCTATGATATAGATGATACTTGAGAGTATAGATTCATTTTGAAATTACGAAACCTAATAAACACTCTCACCTAGTAGGCTCGATAATTTTTTGAAAGATCATTTCTAAAAACATGTACTTTATGAAGTACATTTGTACTCAAAGATTTAAAAAGAAAATATTCGCGTTTAAGAAAGTGTTTTCACTTTCGAAATTATATTTAATTGTAAACAATATTGAAAAAGAAAAAATATTTTTTTAAAGAAAAATTGTATAGTTCTTTAAATTTTAGATTTAACAATGCAAAACTCATATATATAATATATTACTTGTTTTTAATCGATCAGACTATCGAATATTAAGAATAAGTATATAAAAAGTCATAAAATAAATTTGAATCTATTTTTATTGAGTCAACTCAATAATTACATTACTTAGTTTATATTTAAATGAATAAATAATTAGAACATGTTTACCGTAATCATAAGATAGAATTAAAAAACGAAACAAGATTTATTTTTAATTGTATACTACTCTTTGCATATTCATACTTAAGGATTTTTCTTAGTATCGAGAAAATAATGAATTGTTAAATTATACGATTTGGCTTATCACATGAATTTCTACATCTAATGAAATAATAAATGGATTTTCAACTGAGACTTATCTTATCAAATAAGATTTATCGCGAGAAGAAAGTTTAGATTGATTCATGGTTATATTCGTTTCTTCCTAAGTTATGATAATTTTACTTAGTTTCTTTTCAGTGGTAGAGTTGGTCAACAAATATCAAACAGATATATTTTGATCTAAAAATTTGTTCAAAATTGGGTTTTATGGCACTTATAGCATACTAGCTGTTTCAGCTCTAATCAATTACTTCTTTCTTAAGTGTAGAGTTCTAAAAATGGATACTTTAGAACACATTTAAAAAAGTCGACATTTCTGGAGAATTCGATATTGTAGAAAGAAGTTGTTTGTTTTGGAATTGAAGATTTTGCTAGATTGAAGTTAAAATGACATCGATTTAAGGATAAATTTCCAGATGAATTTTTCGATAGTGATATTTTTTTATACCTCCCTGCTACTGACTGAAAATCCAGTAAAATGATCATAATTAGAGACATACAAAATCAAGCTTTTAAGTTGTGGGTTCTGGTAATTTTTTTTCCAACGGTCTTGATCATAGTCTTTGTAAACTTGATCTGCTACTAATTTAATCCCAATGATTTTAGTCTTTTCGAGTACCGGCTAGGATCTTAGTCCTAGTCTTGAGAAAACTATTTCAGAATTTATTCACATTAAATTGAAAAATTCTTAGATAGTCGTCCTGTCATGTAATCCATCGATGATGAATGCCATTTTTTTTTCAGTTATTTCATCTGAATTTTGTTTTGATTAGTATAATTTATAAGATCATTCGCTCAGAGCTATAGAACATTTAATTGCAATTTCTAGTTCCGATTCGAACAACTTCTTTTTCTTGTAAATGCATCTTATCTCACAAGGTTTCTCTGTCAAGATTAAAAATTAAATTTTTAGTTTGTAGTAAAAAGATCGGTAGTTTTTAAAAACGTTATCATACTTGATTACAGTTCATTCTCCAAACATAAATATCTATCATAGAGATGACCACATCTAGAAAGGCTCGTTCTTCATAGCAATTCAACTAAAACTGCTTTAATAAGAAAATATCGATAACAGGACATATATATATATATATAAGCAATTAATTATAGAGACTAAGAAGATTTTTATTCTAAACGGGAAGCGTTACATGGAACTTTTTTCATTTTATACGAATATGCTCTTCGCATATTTGTCCTCAGATGATTCTAATTAGTATTAAATACTTAGTGAATTACCACTCAAAAATCACTTAGGTATAAAAGTAGAAGTGACGAACTTGATGTTTTCTTTTTAGCAGCAAAGATTCGAACAGATGAATTTGGAATCGAAATTTTTGCGAATAAATTTATGTCGGATGTAACTAGTCTCAATTCAAGAAGATCTCTTTAAAATGGACGAATCTCATCTTATTTGAGAGAATCTATGAAATAAAAGATTAATTACCTATATCAGAAACCATTGACAAATGTCGTTGTAAATAAAAAAATCGTTTAAACACGTGGTTATTAAATGTTAATGTAAGTTCATCTAACTGATATTCAACAAGATAAGATAAACATTGAACTACTGGTTCAATTGATCCACATTGAGTAAGAATAAGCGATTTAAGATTAGGAAAATTAAGGATTTTTTTCTCATTAAACAACCATTCATAAATAAGGCCACAAGCGCTTGAATTTGTTTCATCAAAATGGATACGTTGAATAGAAGAACAAAGAGATGAGGAATTTATAATCAATGGAAATAATATTGAACAACATTTATTATAAGATAAACCTTGTATAATGAGAATACCGGTATTCGATATACTATTATTTCTCGAAAGAGTTGAACACACAAGAGAATTGAAACGAGTATTTAATGACCACAAAGATGTTAACATATCGAACCATGGTAGATAAGAAAATATATGAAGAAGAATTTCATTAGATAGTGTTTCTATTCTAGTAATCATTTTATCTAAAAAGAAAATTATAATATGTTTTTCTTTTTTTTCACATTCAATTACTGATTGATGTAACGAAATGAAAACAAAAAAGAAACAACTGATATTCATTATTCTGGGCTTCGTGAATATTACTGTAATTCGAGCAGTTTTATCTTAAGGAGTCCTTTCAGAATCGATTTCCCACTTAAGATAGTACATTCGGGCTGACATTTTCAAGTATATGTGTGATCTTAGTGAGATACGCTTCTGATAAAAATTTCAGCTCTGTAAGTTGTACTAGGCTGGATTTCCAACTGATTCATAGCCCATTCATGGAATCCTTATAACTTCATCGCTGCACAAAGTATAGAGATTGGGATGGTTTCAAATTAAGTCTGTATGAGTACACAATTTATGTCCCAACAAAATTTTGACACTCAATCTTATTCATTATTTATGAGCATTTTCGTAGGCATATTCTGAATACCAGTATCAAAAAAACAAAGTGGTACAACGACAGTAAATTCTACTTTTTTCAGCCCAAAAATCAACTATTAAAAATATGTTCGAACAAGAGTTGACTCTCATTTAGACTTTTAGAACAAAAAAAATATTCATTATAGCTCGAGCTGAGTAAGAGTTATTTCAATTTGGCTGATTCGAAACCATGTTCTGAGAAAAACGATAAACAAATTCAAAAAAAACATATTAAAGTAGCATATTTATCATATTTTTAACGGGCTTTTTAATGCGCGTAACAGATCAAATATAAATATGTGATTCTTATCTCTAGTGTCAGTAGGCGCCTAATGATTGATATACAAATGTTTAATCAACGCTTATCTGAATAGCAAATTAGAACCTTTCAAATACTGAAAAACTTCATAAAAACATCGGAAATGTTCTGAAAAATATCCTAGTCGTGCCTAAATCTCTTTTAGTCAGTCTATTACAACTTGGTGTTTTTTTTGAAAATACTGTATATTTTCTAAAGAAGAGATTTGGAGAAACTTCCTGTGATAAAAACTTAACTTCGATTTTTCTCAAAAGCAAGACTTTTCTGAGAAGGAACTTCCTTAAGGGTACCCTCCCCTCTTTTTTGACACTTTTTGGTTCTCGAAGACGGTACAACCGATCAAGCTGAAATTTTTACCACAGATAGAGCATCAAAAATAATGAGATACGTGTTCGAGGAAAAAATATTTAAACTAAGTTTTTGAGGGGTTTTCTGGAAAACCCTGGTTTTCCAGAGGTCCGCATCCTGATACATTACGACCCCCCTTAAATTTTGTCCGATTGGGCTGAAATTTTGTTTATAGACGCCCAACACTATTCCCCAGAGGTAAAATTAAGGATTTCCAAAAATCTCACTTTCTTTTTTTTTTATAAGAGAAATACACCAAGGTTTGAATTTGTGCTTCGGGTCTTGGCTTTTGTGACCTGTAACTTGGAGTAGGAACATCAAAAATGAAAACGCTCGATTTTACTTCTGGAGAATACTCTCAAGTATTAGTGGTAAAAATTTCAGCTCGATCAGACAAACTAAAAAGGGGATCGTAATGTATCAAGATGTAGAAAATCGCTGTTTTCCAAAACGCTAAGTAAATGAAAAAAATTTACATACGATTACTATGAAAAAAAAATTTTTCTCGATCTAATAAATAGGTAAAAGTAAAATGTTTCGAGTCGAATAATGTCTTCAGTTGTAGATGGCACCTCAGGCTATCATACCTTGGGCTCAGCTCAAAATCGAGTTTTGGGTCAAAAAAGGGGGGGGGGGGGGGTGACCCGAAAATAAAAAAATTTTTTTAAAAAAAAAAAATGGAGAAAAGTCTTGAGACTCCAATGAAACGAGATTCTTCGGTAAATAAGTATATTATTTTTTTTTATTCATGTGAACATTATACAAATACCGTATTTGAAATCAACAGTCTCGATTTTATAACTTTGTTAATACAGTTTTTTATGTAATTATTGCATTAGAAAAAATGAAAATTTTCATTATACAAAACATATGAAAGAGCAAATGTTTCTATTAAAGACAGAATATTATTGACTTATTTTGTTTAACTCACTAGTATCCTGCAATATATATTGCAGTAAACAGATGCCACCATTTTTTTCTAACACACTTTGTATGCTAAGCATTATTCGTTACCTGAGAATAATATGTCACGAGACGTAGCGAAGTTTATATTTTCTCACTAATATGATATAACAGCAAATCGATGATATGAAAAGAAACAAAAAACAAACGAAGAATATCCGACTTAGCCTTACTATATTCGAAAGAACATATTTCATGGAGAAATCTACGAAAAATCAAAATTATCCTGTTTTACTTTTCTTTATATGATAGTGAGGTTGTATTCTCTTTAGTGCCTTTAGACCTTACCCTCACACTCCCACCATTATACTTCTATTCTTGCGTGTGTTGAAGATATGTAAGCATGAAAAAGTAAAAAAAGGATAAACTTAATTTCTTGTGAACCTATGATTTCCGGTACTTAAAGTTCTAGAAATTTATTTTCTATTGAATGTAAATCATTGCATTGAATCCATCAACATAAGTCACTGCGTTTTTCACTATTAGAGACGTTTAGTCTATGAAGGATTGTGGATGAATGAAAAGAGTTTCTACATTGAGGAATGAAAATATGTTTAACATTATATTCTAGAATCGAATCTTTTTCAACATTCACTTAATCGTATCAATACTCTCTAGTTACTGAATACATTGTTAACCAGAATATACTTAGGGCAATCCATAAGTAGTGGTGCAGGTACTTTATTTTCTTATAGAACGCTTGAAAAAAAATCTTTTTCTTAATGGCATGATAGAGAAAATGACACTATTTTTTCTATACTATATGATCACTATTTAACTTATATCATAATAATAAAATTTCGATAAGAATTATTTTTGTTGAAAATTAGCTGGTAGCATTAGATCGTAAAGAGTGAAGAAATTTTGCATTTCACTTTATTATCACTTAATACGTTGTATTAAAAAACCAAAATATACCATAAGATGCAACGTGAAAAACTCTAAAATTTCTAAAGGATCGTTTATTTGATANAACATTGAAATATTGGTTCGATGGATTTTTGATATTCAATAAGAATAAGTGATTTAAGATTTGGAAAATGAAGAATTTTTTTATCATTAAATAACCATTGATAAATAAGATCACAAGTCATTGAATTTCTTTCATCAATATGAATATGTTGAATAGATGAAGAAAGTGATGATGATTTGAAAATCAATGGAAATAATGTTGAACATTTATTATAAGATAAACCTAATGTCAATAGATTATCATTTATAGAAAGAGTTGAACATACAAGAGAATTGAAACGAATATTTAATGACCATAAAGACGTTAACATATCAAACCAAGATAGATAAGAAAAAATATACAGAAGAATTTCATTAGGTAACGTTTCTATGTTAGTTATACGAATCATGTTTTATCTAAAATGAAAGTTATGTTATACTTTTCTTTTCTCATATTCGATCGCTCTCAATCATTAATCAAATGACTAATGTCATCAAATGAAAATAAAAACAAAATTATATTCATTTGTCAAGACTTCATGAACATCATTGCAGTTCAAAGTTGTTACTTAAATTTTAAAAAAATATTTTTAAATAGAAAATACATACGAACCTTAAGACTTGAAGTGAAACAAGATCGTTTTCCAGATAAATAAGTATATGTCTTTATTTATGTGAAACTTCCACAGTTAGTATATAAAATCAATGGTCTCAATCTTATAACTTTATTAATTGAATTTTTCATCTAATTATTATACTAAAGAAGAAAGTTTTCGCTACAGAAACATATGAATGAACAAATATTTCTATTAACGATGTAAAATTATTCACTTACATTATTTAGCTAACTTTTATCCTGTGTTGTATGTTGAAGTTTAAAAATGTCATCGTTTTTTCTATCATACTTTCTATTCTGGATTTTATTTGTTCTTCCAGACTAAAGAGTCAGAAGATACGGGAATACATTATCTATATGTGTGATTCAATGAATGGAATATCAAATCATACAGAACATGGTCTGTTCGTAGACGACACAGCTCTTTGGACGTCTTCAAATACAACATCGAATCTCACATCTAGACTACAACAATCCATAGATGAATTTCAAAGGTGGTGTGCGCAGCTTGGAAGCTGAAATTACAACCCTAAATACGGAATCCTCAAAAGGTTTCGTAAAAACTTCGGGTGCCTGAAAATAATTGTCATAGACTTAGAATACTTTTTCAAGTGTTTCGTAGTTCTATCCACGAAACCTAAAAGGGTCCAGAGAATTGAAATGAAATCGAAACCCTTTTAGGTTCCGTATTATGTACGAAACCTTTTTTTTAGTCCAAAACACCCTTTTGGGTTGAGTATCGTGCCTATTTTTTTTTTCAGTGTACGAGCAGCACTAGAGCTGCCATCATATACGTCTGTAGAATATATTCACAAAATTAGCAATATTCCCAACATAAAACAATATAGATTGAAATTATTAGATCAAGGTATTACAAAAGCTCATTCAAACAACGACAAAACATTGAAAACTCATCCTAAAGATATACCACATGAATTATAAAACCAATTAACAAACCACTTAACCTCCAGAAGCATTCCTCCTATTTTTATTTCGAGACAAAAGACACATGTCAAGAGTCTCTCCGTATTCCCAGCCTTTTCTCTTTATTTGTAACATCTCATTTTTGAAATAGAGGCTTTTGAAATCAAAAAAAAAAAGATACGGAAAATGTTCACACTTTCCTGCTAATACGATATGCCAGCGAATAAATCAGTGATATGATTTCGAAAACAAAAACACAAACAAATGCTATTCAATTTAAGGTTACTATATTTAAAGTACATACTTGAAACGTTAAAGTTCTAAACAAATATATTCTGAATGATTGTCGATGAATAAAAACCATCTGCACAAAACGAATATAGAAATATTCAAAAAAAAATGATGAGCCAGTTCGCATAGGTCAACGACCGGACATCCACATAAGTTGTTCAATCCTGGTGTTCGTTTGATGTTGCTCAATGTAGAATGTCTTGTCGAGAAAGAGTTTTAAGAATTCTGACGCATAGAACTAGAATAGTTTCATATCAAATGATAGAAAAATCTGGTCGAATAGATCAGATCCAATCAGGACTCGATTTGAATAGATCCTACAGATCGGAACTAAATTGAACTGTTTGGGTCATATTGATGCAAATCGTTTGAAAAAAATTCTTCCATTCTTAAGATATTTTAATTTTTCTGAAGGCACTACCGCCAAAACAAACAATTTTTTGTGACTTCCATATCAGACTAAAAATACATTCTTTTGGCTTGGAATTTTTACTCTGTATGCATCTCAAGTTGATGTATATATGATAAAAAATAAGTTGCAAGTGAATAAACTGTTGTTAAGTTGATTAATACTATAGGGTCACGAGAAAATGATCATTTTAGAAAGAAGACATTATCTTCTTTCCTTTATATACATACTTCTTCTATTCAATGAAAAGAAAATGTCGAAAAACATAAGGAAATACATACGGAGACCACTGTAGAGCATTTAACTGAGAGTATATTTTATCATGTAATGTTTGAATGTGTTGTTTCACTTGTTTTTGTTAATATATGTCAGAAAAGAAAAAAAATGTTCGTTTCTCTTCGTCACATAAGCTGGAAAAATCCAACAGAAAATGTTTCTATTCAGTCGATCCAATGAAAATATTGAGCATCCGTCCGTCTAATTCATGACGAAAAAAAATCACTTTGCATTTTTTTCCTGTTGAAGGCAATATAGAAAGATATGTCAAATTTTGCGGTCAACGAATGGGAGAAAAGGATACACGAATAATTAACGAGGATAAAGAAAAAGAGCTAAAATAAGAATATAAGAAAAATGGTTGTTTGCTTATCTTTTTTTTAATTCTGTATAATTCAATATGACTGACTATAAATGATTGAAAATAGATAACAGATATCAATTTTTACATCCAAATTCTTAAAACAAGAACATTTTTCTGCTGTCCAAACAGACAAGCATTTGAAAGAACGCGTTAAACGCTATAGTCTGGTACTGTGATTGTGGCTCATTCGTGCCCAAAAGAAAAACGCAAGAAATAAAGTTTTTTTACGTTTTTCTTTTGACTGTGAATAGATTACAATTGTGGTTCCATTTGTAGCGTTTAAACGCGTTTTTCCAAATTCTTGTCTGCTTAGATGAACATTATTTTTCATTCGAAAGATGTATTTTTTTTTCTATCGATCCTATTCTTATATAAAATCTTTTTCATCTATGATTAATAAACATATATTTATCAAGTACATCCTTAGTTTGTGTGAAATAAATACAAGTTGTTTTTAATTTTCTTTTCTCTTATATTAGATTTATTATTATTATTATTATTATTATTATTACTCTTAAAGGTACATGCAATAAGTGCTTCTCACGGTACATCGCGCTTGAGCAGCACACGGACTCACCTGACATAAGAAACTGTCTCTATTGAAATGAAACATCAACAATAAAAATACCATGAAACTTTTCAGCCAATCTTGATACAAAAATTTCTGTATCAATACATTTATCAGAGAAAAATTTGTTATTATCATGAGAAAAGATAACAACTTTCTTGGAATCAGATGTAACACAAGTGAATATTCTATCGAAATGTGAATCCTGTTTCTGCTATACCAATATCTTATGTTTAATAGCCAGAGTAAGAAAAAAAAGCTTTTAGCGCAATCCTTGCGGGATTAGAATATGAAACACGATATACCTATTGCTGCCATTTCCCTAAAAAACTCGTCTTTTCATGTATACCTGGGTATGCTTCGCATTATTCCTTACTGTAGACCATAGAACTTCAACAAGGAAATACTTCACAGATATTTTAACTAGACTTGAGTTATACATCACCTCTCACAGTACCCTGAAGCCGTCCATCACAATATGTGATAGTCTCCAGACTGCTTCTCTCTTCCCCTGTGATGGTTTTGGGAGCCTCTCGGTCACGGTCTGTGATAGGTAGTTAATTAATTAGACACTAATTAATTAATTAATTAGGATGTCAGTCACGGTCTATCGGGGGGGGGGGGGGGCATTTGTATTGTGTACTCTTCTACTCTTTTTTATA